AAGAAGAAGAAGAAGAAGAAGAAGAAGAAGAAGAAGAAGAAGAAGAATTACACTTGTGTGCCATCCAATTTTGAGTGACTCACATCAATCAAGCAAATATTTATTTATTTAGCATATGGCACTTGTTAGCCAGGGATCACTGAGGTGGCTGGCTGCTTATGTGAAAGGAATTTTTACAGGCGGTGTTATCTTTGACGCCTGAATGCTAGTAGGCAATTGGGGGAGGGTCCTTTCTTGTCCCTCTGTGGTTTATTCTCTCACGGGGAATCGAGCCGCTGAGCTGCTGGCCTTGGCCTCGGCGGTGAGCAAGCCCAGCATCTTACCACGTGAGCCACCACAGGCCCTCCTCAAGCAAAGAAATTAGAATGAATTCAAAACTATTAAAGTGACAAACCATTTCTGAAAAGGTTGCCAATAAAACAGTAGGGATTGGTCTGGGTAGCTGCCAGATCAGTGCCTCGAAGTCATCAAAATAAAGAGGGCGAACTAGTATATTAGACCAGGGGTCTCCAACCTTGGCAGTTTTGCTGGCTGGGGAATTCTGGGAGTTGAAGTCCTCCAGGCTTAAAGTTGCCAAGATTGGAGACTCCTGGTGCAGACTACATCACCTTTAGGATCCCTTTCAAAGCCAGGAGGTTGACTCTCCTTACCACGTCAATGGGGTAGGCCAAAGCAGCTGCCACACGCTCATTCAGGTCCTGATCCAGGTTTTGTTCTGCCGGCTCCGAAGAACGGCTCAGAGCTGCCTCTTGATAGGGCTCATCTAATTCCTGGTCCGTGTAAGGTTCTCCTTCTGCGTCCGTTTCCTCATAATCACTGTTGGCCCGACTGTCACAAGTCAGGTCACCCATACTGATGGCCGAGGTCTGGTTTAATATGTCCAAGCTCTCCTCAGCCGAAGCATCCACCTGAAGGAAAAAAAAGGAGTGGAAAATTACAGAGTAGAAAGCAGATGGTTATTTGAGAAGGAAGGAAGTTTATACTAAGCCAAATCTTGTGGAAGAAGGGATCCCCATCCCCTGGGCAACGGACCGGCACCAGTGCATGGCCAACCAGGAACCAGGCTGTAGAAGCGAGTGAATCCCCATCTGTGCAAATGGGGGATCCAGACAGTGTGCAAAACCACACCATCCAGTCCACAGAAAAAAGCGCCCTCCACAGTATCGGTCCCTGAGACCCAAAGGTTGAGGGTTGCTGTTGGAGAACTGTCAACTCTGAAGCGAACCTGGCTGTCTCCATTTTGTGCAGTCTCAAAGTTGCCATGAAGCCAGAGGGGGGGAAGAGGACGGGGGAAGTAGATAGCTCAGATCCAGTCAAAACAAAAAGTTTTCCTGTGGGAACCAAGGTCATTAAAACAGGTGGCCATTGAAAGAGAAGAGGAGCCTGCTTTCCATCTTCATTGGACAATGTGACCAGTGACACCTGGGAGGGGGAAATTTGATTCGTTTAATTAGGTGAAAACCGTGGGAACTGTCGGAGTTGGTTTTCACCGGCTATGCCGATATGATGTATCCAATAAACATATCCTTTAAGGAATCTACCTGCCTCGGAGTTATGCTTTCACTGGGTGCTGTGTTGTGGTTTGCCGGCAGCCTGTGCAGACTACAGTGGAATCGGACAGTGGGGAAGAATGGGGACCAGTCCGGGAGTCTGGAGAGAACTCGGATGAGGGTCCTGCGTCCGATGCAGAGATAGGGCCAGGACCATCTGGGAGCGGGGTGCTGCCTCTGGAGCCTCTGGAGTCTGGCAGCAGCAAGGCAGAGGAACCAGGGGAGCCCGTTCCCAGTGCGCGTGTGCACAGAGCTGCTAGAAGGCAAGAACAGCTGAAACAAAAGGGGCGACTCGGAAGTAAGGCTGGGAGGTGATTGCCCCTCCCATAAGGTATAAAGGTCAGGTAAAGATAACGAAAACTTTGCAGGAAGCAAAGTTGTTCGTTCGGTTCAGACTCATTCTTGAAGCTCTTTGTACTTGGGTTGGTATTTTTTCTAGTTCATTTGATACTTCCGTTATTGGCAGCACTTCACAGAAAAGAAAGGTGGGTGCCTATCTCTAGGGACTGTTTGAGATTAATTCCGGCTGGGAATGAAAACAATTCCCAGCATTGAAATAAAATAAGTCTTGTTTTTAAAATAAGCGTGTGCGTAGTTATCGTCTAGGAAGCCTTGGTCAGAACAGGCTGACATTAAACCAACTCTGACAGTTTTTGCGGTTTTCAACTAATTAAAGGAATCAAATTCCCCCCTCTCAGGTGCCACTGGTCACATTGTCCAATGAAGATGGAAGGCAGGCTCCCCTCCTCTTTCAATGACCACCTGTTTCAATGACTTTGGTTCCCACAGGAAAACTTTTTGCTTTGACTGGTGCTGGGTTATCTACTTCCCCCCGCATCTTCCCCCTCTCAGGCTTCATGGCAACTTTGACGTCGCACAAGATGGCTTCAGCCAGGTTCATTTCAGAGTTGACATTGGTTGCAATAGACTTTGGAAGACAACCCTTGAGAAACTTAAAGAGGTTTCGGACAAGCTACTCAAAGAAGCTTAATAAAATAAATAATTCATGTCTAATATATATAAAAAAAAATGAAAAGCAGACTAAATAGAAAACTTTTATTACCAGATAATAAATAACCTAGATTTTTAAAAACAACAACAACTTCCTTTGGACTAAAAAGCTAACACATTGCAGAGCCACCAAATGTGGACTGCAATCTGGATTTTAAAGTTATATTACTGCAGCATTCCACACGCTGGAACCCTGGAAGCAGTTGTCATGAATCCAGAGAGCATCAGGATGGGGAAACTTGCCTTGCTGCCTACAAGCCAGGTTAAAACCTGACTCCGCTGTGATTGTGCCCACCTACCTGTTCTTCCGTCATCCAGACAGGGCGGGCCTGCTCAATTTGGATAATCTCCTTCAGGGTCTGGTACCAGTTGTTGGACCCTCCGGCGAGGCTGATGGTGGCCGTGAAGAGGTGGCTGCAATACTTCTGCATCTTGGAGGCCTGCACATAGAGGCGCCGCGAACTCTTCTTGGAATCTGGCACCAGCCACTGCCTCATGGCCTTGATTCCTTGCCGGCTGTCCGGCTCACAGAAGACCACAATGGGGAAATACTGCACATAATTGAGACGTTCTACAGCAGCTGGTGTGATATCGAGCAATGCATGTTTATCCTGTTAAAAAGAGAAGTGAAATGTTAGTAACGCTTTACAATAATGTCTTGATAAGACCATGCTTGGAATACTGAATCCAGTTTTGGTCGCCATGAATGTAAACATGGAAAATAACTTCATGTCAACATAGTGTGATAGGCTTGTGGGGCTGATGTGTTGTGCAATCAGTTCACATGGTGCAATAAGATTGTGTGTGTGTGTGTGTGTTAGTAGGACCCACTGGATTGGGGAATTTATTTTTTTGTCTTCACTGTGAGTAGTATTGGGGGTGTGGGGTGTGCACGAAGGGAGGCTCAGCCAATCTTATTGTACACAATGTCAATGTTCCAGCAACACTCCATTCCAAACAATAACTCGGAGACAGACATCTTCTCAAAGGTTCCTTTTTATTTGGATAGTAACTGGCACAACTGTGGAATCCCGAATCTGAAAGTTCCGGGCTTCCTTACAATAAGTAAAAACTACAAAATCCAACCCCTTCACCAATCATCCACCACATGGCCCAATCAATCACTATCCATCTCCAGTTAAGACTTCCTCTCAGTTATGCGCCAACACAACCTGACCTTGACTCAGAAAAAGAATGTTATTGGGTATAACTAGATATACTCGAATATATTCCCCCCTCTCACTTTCTCAGGCTCAGATGTGGCAGCATGGGAGCATCTGATCTCAACATGGCTTCCAAAGCTGACACACACGTTGTACTCTGATAATAAAGCTTGATTTGATTTGATTTTGATTTGAAAAAAAGACGTTGAGATTCTAGAAAGAGCACAGAGAAGAGCAACTAAGATGACTAGGGGGCTGAAGGCTGAAACGTATGAAGAATGGTTGCAGGAATTGGGTTATGTCTAGTTTAATGAAGACTAAGGGTGACATAATAGGTGTTCCAATATCTCAGGGGCTACCACAAAGAAGAGGGAGTCAAGCTACTCTCCAAAGCACCTGAAGGCAGGAGAAGAAGCAATGGATGGATATTAATCAAGGAGAGAAGCAACCTAGAACTAAGGAGAAATTTCCTGACAGTTAGAACAATTAATCAGTGGAACAATTTGCCTCCAGAAGTTGTAAATGCTCCAACACTAGAGGTTTTTAAGAAGACACTGGACAGCCGTTTAACTCCAATGGTAAAAGGTTTCCTGCTTGAATAGGAGGTTAGACTACAACAGCGGTCGCCAACTGGTGGGCCGCAGCCCACCGGTGGGCCGCAGAGAAATCTCACCCCCAGAGCATCCCCCCCAAAGCAATTAATCCAGGCTGCGCAGAAACACAAGGCAGCGCCACCCACATGGCCCGTGGGAACTCTCCCCGGCCACTCACTCCTTACCCAGCAAACTTGCCTGCTAAATTTCTATTTTTCCTTTTTCCGACCATCATCTGTTCATCATCTGTTCTGGAGATTTAGATTAGCTAGGAAGCAGGAAATGGTTGGATTTCTTGCTTTCTAGCTAGTCTTTAGATCTTCAGTTCTGCTTTTAAGCCGAACCTCCCTTAGGACTGAAGGTTCTATTATTCAGTGCAGACTCACGGCAAGCAAAGTTTATGTGACAGACTGAGCTAGCCGATGGTAGATAGATAGATCACTGAATGAATCTGTGATTCTGTGCGCAACTCAATCTGTCTGCCTGCTTTGCTTGGTTTTGGGTAAAAGTTGCTCATTTAATAAAAAAAATCAATATTTATATACATGGTGTGTTGTGAGTTAATTTTGTGAGTTTGCTTGCAAGCAAATTTTATGTGACAGACTCAGGTAGCCGATGGCAGATAGATAGATCTCTGAATGACTCTGTGATTCTGTGAGCAACTCAATCTGCCTGCCTGCTTTGCCTGATTTTGGGTAAAACTTGCTCTTTTTGTATAAAAAATTCAATATTTATATAAATACTTATAATATTTACATACAAGCCATGCCCAGCCAGTCACATGACCACCAAGCCACACCCACAAATTAGGCCACGCCCACAGAACCGGTTAGTGGTACCTGGGATTTTAAATTATGAGTTTGGTGGTCCCTGAGGTCCAAAAGGTTGGTGACCCCTGGACTAGAAGACCTCCAAGGTCCCTTCCAATTCTTCTGTTATTCTCTTAGAATGTCTGTACAGGACTATAATTTTAAACACCAACATTAAAAGTTTCATTATGTTATTTCCATCACCACTTCATTGCCTCACCTGCTTTGCAATTTGCCACACGGTGTCCAGTTTGATCACTTTAGATGTTCCTCCTTCTCTGATAACACTCTCTAAAAAAACAGAGAGAGGGAGAAAGAGATTTGAGAATACAGCTACTCCTTGAGTTACAATTATTCATTTATGACCAAAGTTACAACAGTGCTCAAATAGAGACTTGAAACCGGTCCTTGCAACTTACAACCATTAGGGCTGAGGAATTCTGGGAGTTGAAGTCTTAATGTGGGAGAAGTGGAAAAAATGCTGAACTTGGGGGGATTTCAAGGCACAGCTAGAGCAGTAGAGAATTCCAACAGGGCCCGAGATCCACCAGGTAGGAAACGCCGCTCCTCGTCCTTGAAACTCAAGCACACTCACCTGCAGTCTGAAATTGATCTGGCATCTCCGTGCTCAGTTTCTGCATGGCGATGTCAGCAATTGGGCCCAGGATCACCACAGGACGCTTAAAAGTGGCTGCATGAGAAAAATCACCTTGTAAATCAAGTTTCTAGTCCACAAGAGATTAGGAGAAAGACATCAGAGGAAGTATTGCCTTCCTTTTTTTTTTAGGGTTTGGCATCCTTCGAAAAATGATTTAGCAGTGCTTAAAGCAACCCAATATTTTCAGGGTTATGTGCGAAACTGAAAAAGGTAGCCAGGTAGTCCTTGACTTGTTAGCATTTGTTTAGTGACAGTTTGAAGTTACAACAGCACTGGAAAAAAATGGCTTATGACCGTTTTTCACTCTTATGAATCTTTACAGCATCCCCATGGTTACATGATACAAGTATGGCCGTTTGGCAACTGGGATATTTTCATGATGGTGGCATCATCCAAGGGACCTTCCAAGCTGGCTTCCAACAAACAAAGTCACTGGGAGAAGCTGGATTCATTTCACGAACGTGTGACTCACTTAGCAACTGTAGAGATTTCCTTAACTCAGGCAAAAATGTTCACAAAATAGGGTGTGACTCACTTCACAATTGTCTTGCTTAGCAATGGAAATTCTGGTCCCAATTGACAAGGACAAGACAAAACGGGACCAGGACAGGACCAGAACAGACCAGAACAGGACAGGATAGGACAGGACCAGGGCAGGACAGGACAGGACAGGACAAGACAAGCTTTATTGTCACATTTTTTTTCTGTGAACACACTGGAAACATTAAATTATGCAATTCTGATGCCTGCTCACAAAAGAAAAAAAAATATATACTCTCTCTCTCTCTCTCACACACACACACACACACACACAGAGAGAGAGTATCATTTATTCAAATATTTCTGTCTGTCTGTCTGTCTGTCTGTCCGTCCATCCATCCATCCATCCATCCATCCATCCATCCATCCATCCAGTTATCTATATGAGCCTTGATGGCGCAGTGGTTAGAGTGCAGTACTGCAAGCTACTTCTGCTGGCTGCCTGCAATTTGGCAGTTCAAATCTCACCAGGCTCAAGGCTGACTCAGCCTTCTGTCCTTCTGAGGTTGGTAAAATGAGGACCCAAATTGTTGGGACCAGTAGGCTGACTCTGTAAACTGTTTAGAGAGGGCTATAAAGCACTATAAGGCGGTATATATGTCTAAGTGCTATTGCTATCTATCATCTATCGATCAATCTATTATTTATTTATCTATCATCTATCATCTATCTATCATCTATCTATATCTTCTATCATCTATCCATCATCTATCTATCTTTCTATATCTTCTATCTATCATCTATCTATAGATATAGATATAGATATAGATATAGATAGATAGATAGATAGATAGATAGATAGATAGATAGATAGATAGATATAGATAGATACACACACACAGAGAGAGAGAGATATATACATATTAATCACAGACCATTTAGAATGCTTAGAACAATTCTAATTGTAAATCGAGGCCTACATATCTGCAACATATCTCCTCCTTCACTACTACAAGCACCTACCTTCCTTGAGTACAACCTTCTCGTAAGGCGGATAGTGGCCCTGCTTGGTAAGATTTGACAGATCTTCCCGGCTTTTGCGCAGCATCCGTTTGGCTCCCCGCAAACCTCGGAGTTTCCAGAACTCTGCTCGAGCCCCTAAAGCATTGGAGGTCTTTGACGTCGTTTTGAGAACCGATTCCAGACTGGCGAACTGTTCTGCCCTGGGGTCAAAAACGGCTGAGATCAGGGGGACAAAAGATGGAAGAAGCCACCTTGTTCTCCCAGTTAAAGCAGCTGGTTCAAACCAACCCCGATACAGGGTCAAGCCATGGCTGGAGAAGAGAATTGCAATAGAGTTGGGATAAGCTACAACGGCACTGAAAAAAAGTGACTTATGACTTACAAATGTTGGGCTCCATTGTGGTCATAAGTTAGAGTGTTGCAGTGGCCTTGAGGTGGAGCTCTCGCCTCACAATCAGGAGGCTGTGAGTTCGATCCTAGGTAGAGGCAGATATTTCTCTCTCTGGGCACACTGAGAATATATCTGCTGACCAAAACTCCGCACTGGCAGTAGGAAAGGCATCCGGCCACTCTGCTAGCTCCATTCACTTGCCCAAACTCCACCCCACAATGGATTATGGGGTCGTTAAATGATGATGATGATGATGATTGTGGTCATAAATTGAGGACTTACCTCTACACAGTGACATAACTACTCGGTTGGATATGCTATAATTTAGGGTTTCTTAAAAGGTGGCCTGAGGATCACTGGGGGTCTTTCCCCCAAATTCTCGTAGGGGTTTGCATAATCAAAATTATTTACTCAATATTGAAGATATTTGAATATATAATATTGAAAATATTAAACAATGTCACTCTTCTCATTATTTTTTATTTGCTAAAAATACGGGGGTTTTCATGGAAATATTGTATGTTACGGTCTAATGGGTTTTATAGTGTTATTTTACATTTCAGTAAATAAATACTTACAAATGTGTTCATTTAATTTTTAATCTGGCATATGTTGATAAATATAACCCACACAGACAAAACGTTTTGGGGGAGCTCCATAATTTTTTAAAAGCGTGAAGGATTCCTGAGAACAGAAAATCTGAATAAACATTGTCATATACTGTAGGTAGTCCTCGACTCATGACCACAATTAAAATAAGAAATTCTGGTGTTAAGCAAAGCAGTTGCTAAGTGAGTCTCATCCAATTTTAAAACATTTACAACACCCAAATTTCGATCACATGACCGTTGGGGATGCTATGTAGGTTGTGAGAACTGGTTGTAAGTCACTTTTTTTTCAGTACTGTTGTAACTTTGAACAGTCACTAAATGATTCATTCTAAGTCAAGGACTACCTGTAATTGCTTCCTTCAAATGCCTGCACTTTGACATCACTTCAGGCCGTGATGGCGAACCTATGGCAGGCGTGCCACAGGTGGCACACAGAGCCATTTGTGCGGGCACATGAGCCCCAGGCAAAGTTACCTCACTGCGCATGCACGTGCCTCGCAGCTGATTTTCGGCCCGTTTGAGGCCTTGGCCTCCCAGAGGCTTGAGGAAAGCCTCTGCAGCCTTTGCAGGCTAAAAATAGGACCATTTCATCACTTCCTGTATTTCTGGAAATACCAGAAGTGACAAAACGGGACCATTTTTCAGCCTGCAAAGGCTGCAGAAGCTTTCTTCAAGCCTCTGGGAGGCCAAAATCAGCTAGGAGGCGCAGTGCAGGTAAGGTGGCGTAGGGGGGGATTGCGTGTGCATGCGCAGGGGGCGTGGTGGGGGCGTATGCATTGTCTTCTGGGTGCTGGCTCGTAAGCGTGCATGCACACACAATTTTTGGCACAGGAGCCCAAAAACGTTAGCCACCCCTGACTTAAAGGGTAGAGCTTGCATTACATATGCTCAGTTTGTTAGGTATAACATTGATACCAAATATGGTTTGGGTGAATAAATATATAAAACTTAGATATCATGGTTTAAGTGCTTATCACTTTAAGCACAATGCAGCAGGCAATTAGCCGATTAAGGGTGCGGTTACAAGTTACAATATAAGGAAGCATTAGAAGCTGGAAAGCTGTCTCTGTCTGTAACTGTGTGCTGCTGCGACTTACTGTGTGCTGCTGCGACTAACTGTGTCTTACTGTGACTAACTGTGATTACTGACTGTGAGTGCCTGTGACTGAACTGTTTTTGTTTGCTACTGTTTGCTGAATATCCAGCGTTTGTTTCTCTGGAGAGTGAAACCGGAGGAGGAGAAGATATCTTTATCGGCTGATAAAGATATTGCAAGGACTCTTAACTTGGACTATACTAGTGAGTCTTACTGGATGGAAATACTGTGAATGACTTAATGGACTGAATGACAATGCTTAAATTCTAACTGGATTAAAAACTATTTAAACTACAAACAGTGTTTGTGTTCAGTGTGTGTATACTCTGGGGCCCTTCCGCTCTCCTTTGGCTTCCTGGCTTGACTACTGCTGCAATACTCTTCTAGGGGTTAATCACCAAAACCCTAACAAGTTTATTTACACTTTCTATTTATTTATTCAATTTATTCAGCACGCA